GGTTTGTTGCTAAAAGATTCAAGGCTGAGTAAGATAGTTGATGAGATGATGTCTGGGAGGAAGGAGAGGTGGGTGATGGGGGAAGTGAATAGGTGGTTATATAGCTGGGTTCTTGGGTGAAAGATGGTGGTGTTGAGTTACACTTTCACAAAGGCACAAGTGAGCCTTGATTTCGAGGCGGTGAGGACAAAAACATGGAGTTAAATTGCGCGGTGAGTACAAAATTTACATTGTGATATGCCTCTTTTGTTTGGAAAACATGAGAGCATATGATCAGGATCGTCAATTGCTGGCTGGTCAAGAAGAGATGATGTCACTGGCTGGGCAGCGGTGGTAAGTGGTTCTGCCCTTCGCTGACAAAGGGTTAGGGTTGTACTGCATGGAAGCTATGATCAACTGGGATTTTGGTGACCATTTTGTGTGCTGCTCTCTTGTTGAACGACCACCACCACCTCGATCGAACCACACCACCACCTTCGGTCTATTTTCTGTCTCTCGATTCTGTGGAATCACGCCCGTGAGAGATGGTACGGTGAGGGACAATGCTGCCGGCTAATTTTCTCCGACGGGTAGCGGGTTGTGGTGGGGGAGTAATAGGGGGGAGGGCTCTGTCGTCGTTTTTTCCTGGACGACGCGTTGTTTCTGTCACTCATGGCCACAGTCACATCAGCAGCAGCCACAAGAGTCATCATGGCTGTCATAATATCGGTCAGCAAAGACGGATGATACAGAGCCTGCTGGCCAGGCACAAGTGTGTCACTGTTGGCCTTGGCTCATTAGAGTTGTCCTCCTCCATGTCAACAGCCGAGTTGAAGGTGAGTAGTTACGATTACGCAAGCCCGATGATACAAGGACAACAGGGCTAACCACTCACGACCGCTCTTTTCCAGAAAAGAGTCATTTCTGCTGTTGCTCAGAGCTTGCGCGTCTCGTCGACGGATGACGCTGCTGTGGTTCTTGTGTCCAGGTCACTAGCCCCTTGGCTGGAGGATCAGGCGTTTATGGCTGGGCTGCTCGAGGCTACGACCTCTGATGAGACGGGGAGGGAGCTCAGCGTCTTGAGTGCGGCGGTGGATGAAGTTCCACGGTTTCAGGGCGCTCCAAGTTCTTCCGAGGGTTTGTCTGTTTTGCGCGGAAGTTCTACCCGGGTGCTCCCCGGTCTGTGGGAAGTCGGGAGCAACCAGACCTTCTCACCTTCACAGCAACTGTCCTTCCTCGAGCTCCGTCTCCCTGGGCTCCAACCAAAAGCAGAGCCTCTCCAGGTCACGGTCCCTCTTGCCAATACCATCTTTACCACCGGGAAGTCCCACGCTCTTTTTGCGAGCAAATGGCGCCATGATCCCGCTGCGGCCCGAAAAGGCCTGAGCATGGCGGCCAGTGTCGAAAAGACAACACAGACTATCCTTCTTCCAGGGTACGATCAATCCTCGGCGAGTACCGTGTACACAGCACTTGTACCAGTCACGCGCCCACACAAGATTGTTGCCGGCCTGGGAAACATCCTTCGACAGGTCGAGGTGGGGGTCAAGCCAGAGCCGGCGTCCAAGGAACTTGAGGCGATCATTCCCGCACTTCTCAAGAAGCGCCTGGAGCACTCCGAGTCGGACGAGCTGACGTATAGTGGGCCTGTAGGCGTCTGGGCCTTGATCATGCCCGAGGGTGCCGTCGATCAGTTTCCCATCCCAAACCCCCTTGACGTGCAGAACTATGATCCATCTAGCGAGTGGGACTTGGTACATCAAACCTCGCAGGCCATGGACGGGCTAATAGCTGCCGGGTGCCAGTTGCGCAAGATCCGTAAGTCTTTATCTCTTTTCCTGCCACGACTGACGGCTCTGATACTCTTGTCAATAGTCAGCGGCGGCGGCGGCTGGGGTCTCAAGCAAGGCCTCCTGTCACTTGATCCAAACACAAGATACGCAAGAGAAGAGCACGAAGACATGGAGAGCTTTATACGGTCTTTCAAGCGCGAGGATGCCACCGGCGGTATTGTCACGCCGGGCTCCTACGTCCAGTTCTTCACCGAGGCCATCCCCCCAACAGAAAAGACAAGGCTAAAGCTGGCCTGGCCTTCTGACCGCCCTACCTTTGCCATTGGAACATCTGGCGGGAAGACGTCAGAGGAGGTGGAGACTTTCCCCGACCTCTTTGGTGCTGTCTCTTCAGAGGGTGTCTACATCTCTTCGGAAGAGAACGCCGCCATAACGACCAAGCTAGACGCGCCACAATCTTATGTGGTATCTCACGCGAGTGAGGAATAACATGCCCAGTGCAATGTGACAACACTGTACCGATATCATCTTCAACCTTGAGGTCGCGTCATGTGGCGCCAGGCCAGAGCCGTCCGTCGTTTGATAGAGTTCAAGAGACTCCGCTCCAGGAACGCCACGTCTTCCCTTCTGGCCCTAGCACAACCCAGGCCAGACTGGACAGCCCTTTAGCATTCCGAAATCAAAAGCCAGTTTCCGTGGCGTGGTAGTATAGCGGTTATTGCATTCCCAAGTTTGAGCGACGACCCAGGTTCGACTCCTGGCCCGCCAATCAGCGTTTGATTTTCCAGCATTTGTTTTTCTTTTTGCCCAAGTCCACACAGACATGGAGTCTGCCAACAATGCCCATGGATGTGAAGAGAAACCAGTTTGTGAAACTGGAGTTCAAATTAGCGAGGCAGTGTTTTTTGTAGTCGATTGAACTTTGAGCACTTGACAAACTCCCCGCCATCTATCGAACCACCCCCATCATGTCCATTCGCCCATATCACACCTCCCTTTCTCATTCCTCCTTCTCCTTCCTCCTCCCCAACCCCTCCCCCACCGCCTCAGCAACCCCCTCCACCGTCGTCCCCCTTTCCCTCTTCCCAATCCTTTCCCCTCCCAACACCGTCCCCTTCGCCACAAGCTCATATACCTTCGCCGCAGCCTCGAAAATCCCCTCCCACTCTTCCCAATTTCCATTCTCCCTATGAGTCTTTCCAATCTCCTCCATCTCCCTAACCCACCTGCCCGCCTTGGGAGCCAGCCCAGTAACAGCTTGTTCCAGTTTCTTCCCCGCTGCCTCACCCTGGAGTTCATTGACCGACTCCAATAGTTCGGGTAGGACGCCCAACTGGTGAGCGGTGGTCACTGACTGAAGTGCCACGGCCGCGTAACCTTTTGATAAGGAGGCGAAGACCATTTTCAGGCCGCTTGCCTGGCCTAGTTCGGGGGAGATGTGTTTTTCCCCGAGGACCTCACCGAGGCCAGGGAAGATATCCGAGAGAGAAAACGGGCCGGAGGTGGGAATGATCGGTTTCGTCCAACTGCCACCAATAAAAGAGGGGGGGCCGCCGAGGATGGAGCCGTCGATGAATTTGACACCAGTGAAAAGGGAGGAGATGGACAGCAGGGTAGAAGGGGAGACAGCATTCAAATCAGCATAAACCAGCTCCGTCTCCTTCCTATCCCACGCTTTCACCACCCTCTCCGCGGTCGAGTAGGCTTCGGCAGGGGGGACAATGGACAGGATGAGGTCCGAGTGGTCGACTAGTAACTCGTCAGAGGGGAGGAGGACGGCGCCGGCGGAGAGCGCGCGGGATTTGGTGTCCTCGCTGGGAAGGTGTCAGTATGGACAGGACACGTAAAATGGGAAGGAACAGACCTCCTGTCGGAAACATTGGTCAACACAGCATAATTATGCGCCATCAGCAACCGTGCGACCCCGCTTCCCATGTCCCCCATGGAGATGACCCCTATTAGGCCGAGGTGCCTGCCCCGGAGGGCGTCAAAGTCGGGGAGGTCTGCCATTGGAGGATTCAGATACTTGAAATATGTTTTAGACTTCCATAAAGTGACGGTTTTAGGGAACTTGAGGGCTGAAAATATTAGATGGTTGGTGAGTGAGGAGGGCTTTGTAAGTGACGGACGGGAAAGAATCAAACAACCCCGCGGTTGCGTGCTCACATTGCATCAGTTCTCAATGCTTAGGGCAAAAGGCAGCTACGACTCAAAACTCGGGCAAGAATGTATCGTCGTGTCTACAAGTCTGCCTGCATATCTAGTCCAGTGAACTTTTGGATTGATCATAGTAAAACAAAGTTCGTCTAGTACACCTATATGTACTTCAAAAACCGTGCTGTTGAATGATAATAACTTGGCCTTTGACAACATACATCCTGTACAGAACCGACCACCATGACTCTGGCAGTTTGAGCCGTACATAACACCACACCTCAGCAGCAACCCAAGACGCAAAACATCAACGCTTGATAAAGGAGTAGAGTTCCTATAGAATAACAGCAAAAAAAAAAAAAAAAAAAAGGCTGGCGCGTACCAACAAGCAGCGATATCCATACTTCGCTTTAGTTGCTTATGATTATAAAACCCCATCCCCATGCTATCCCGTGTACCAATCATTCCCCCGCTGACTGATCTACTCAATCATGTCAATGTCCCCGTCAGTCTGCTGCTGAGCCGCCGCACCATTCGCAGCAGGAGCCGCATCGTTCTGCTGAGCACCACCACCGCCAAAGTAATCCTCCATCTCGGCGTCCAATTCCTCTTGGGTCTTCTTTGGACGTCTCTCAGACTTCTCACCACCGCCACGCCCGCCGTCGTCACGTCTACCACCTCCACGCTCCCGACGGCCACCCCCGCCCTGTCTCCGGCCACCTCCACCTCCTTCACGACGTCTCGGGGGCATAGGGCTGCGCGAACGACTGGCGCCAGGTCGGTATCTGTCGATGCCCTTGCGAGCGGCCTCCTCATCAGACTGGCGATGGGGCGAAAGCGAGCGGGATCTGCCGCTCGGGACCGTGATACGCTCGGCAAGCGGGCGAGGGTTGATCGCAGTATCAAATGGGTTGCGCCTTGGGCCCGTAGGCATCATGGTAAGGCGGATTGGCTGGCCGGCAGCGTTGGCACCGTCAAACTCCTTGATTGCCTGTGCAGCGTCGTGGGATGACTGGTACGTGACAAACGCTGTACCCTCTGAGCGGCCGGCGCGGTCATACTTCATCTCCAACTTGACGAGAGGGCCAATGCTGGAAAAGAGTCCCTGCATATGCTGGTGAGCTTGAATCCCGAAACAGTCCACCAAAATGTTTTGACATACCTCCAACTCCTCTTGCGTCAACTCATAGTGGATATTATCCACACGGACCTTGCTGCCTCTCGAGTCGCTGAAACCCGGTTAGTTACCGTACATGAAAATAAAACACTCCATGGTATCCTGCCATACCCAGAGTACTCGTTCGAGTTTCGTCTTCTCGGAGCAGATCGGCGGCTCCCTACAAACAATTGTTAGCACGTCCCCCAAACCTCATCCTCGACCCAACATACCATGATCCTCATATCTGTCATGAACCCATTCGCTGCGGAATCCGTCAATTTTCCGGCCTGTGTCTTTAACCCGGGCCGATGGGTCGAAATATCTATACGTACGTGTCGAGGTTGCGAGGCGCTTCGTCTCTGAAGGACTGTTTCTCCCCCACAAGAAACGGGAGAGCTGTTAGCCGGCAAGTTTCAACCAATGCGTTACCTATTCCCCCCGGTCGCGATTCCGATCCGATCCGAGGCCGCATCGAAGCGCACACAACACACATCAGGGAGTATCGTCTGTGTGGATTGAATGGCGGCGTCGAACAGTCTGAGAAGTGACCCGGAGGTGCGGTAAGAGAGAAAGGGAGGAGAGGGTTCATTCAACCTAGAGATAGCGGTCGCCCGACGAGCTTAAGCAAATGGTGTTTTTTGCGAGAAACTTGACAACAGACCGTACTCAAAGAAAAACGGGTAGAGAGGAAAAACAATCGCAACGAGCGTACCTTTCTTACGCCATCCCTGGGATAATCCGACCGATTGTCGTTGTTGTTGTTGTTGTTGTTGTTGTTGTCGCGCCTACGGGGACGACCGTCCCGGGAATTGCTGCTGTTGCCGCCGCGGTTTCCCCGATTGCCTCCTCTGTTGTTCTGCAGTCTCGCGTCAGCATCTTCCTTCACGGCACCACCTGTGATGCAGGATGCCGGGGGGCGGTCAACAAGCAACCGGCGGTGGGGAGGGCTGTTGGACATACCTGCTTGCGGTCGGCAAGGATCTCGTCAAGGCTGCGGTCGAGAATACGTTCCATGCTGGGCAGTTTGGTAGGGAGGGTAAAGATCGAAAATGGGAGGCGATCTAGGTGATGTTGGCAATGGTCGAGAGTTGGTTCAAAGTTGCGGTCGCAACACAGTTGGAGAATGGAACGCCAAGGCCTTTAGACACAAGTGGGGCCGTTGTTGAGCCAAGATGGAACCGTCCTGTCCAGGACCCACTGTTGACCGCGGGGGTGTGCACGTACCGAGGGGCTGGATTTATATTCACTTGACGACTACATATATATTCACTTGACGCATATCAGACCTGTCAAAGAAGGCAATGGATGGACATGTCTTGGAAACAGCTCCAGGAGGCTCACATCATCAGTCACCATAAATAGTCACATATCGAACAGCCCTTCCTCGTCTCTTCTTCTGGGTTCGGTCTACGTCGAATTTTTGGTAACATCCCTGGATACACATAACACCGTGAAACAAGCCAAAGACAACGCAGATAAAAGAAAACCAGCCTTCATTGATAGGCACTATCCGTCCTAAAGCACCTCGCACCATCCAAACAGATTACGGTGCAGATGCTCTCAGCCTATCCCTCCTATCAACGCTTTTATGGGTAACGGAAACCCACCCCAGATGCCCAGGCCTTTGGCAAAAAAACTAAAATAAAAAAATTCCCGAGCGATAAAGCAGATTCCCTCCTCCCTACCTACCAGACGAACGCAATCACGCTGCTCTTCAGTGTATCTCAGTGCCGATGCGCAGAACGTGACCAGGTATGCCGTAAGAACAGAGAAAAACGGTCCAGGAACGTCGTACAGATGTGTGCTGTTTAGATGAGGTCGGCCACGTTCATCGGCATCTCCTCAATCTGGGTGCTGTAGAACTGCTCAATCTCGCGCATCATGCGGACATCATCAGCAGTGACAAAGTTGATCGCAACACCCTTGCGACCGAAACGACCACCACGACCAATGCGATGAATGTAGTTCTCACGGTTGGCGGGGAGATCGTAGTTGATGACCAGGGAAACCTGCTGGACATCAATACCACGGGCCAAAAGGTCAGTGGCGATGAGGACACGAGAGGAGCCGGAGCGGAACTCCTTCATGATGAGGTCACGCTGGGCCTGGTCCATGTCACCGTGCATGGCCGAGACGGTGAAATCACGGGCAGTGAGCTTGTCGGTAAGCCAGTCGACCTTGCGGCGGGTGTTGCAGAAGATGACGGCCTGGGTGATGGTGACAGTCTCATACAAATCGGAGAGGGTATCGAGCTTCCACTCCTCCTTCTCGACGGCGATGTAGAACTGCTTGATACCTTCAAGGGTAAGCTCGTCCTTCTTGACCAAGATGCGGACGGGGTCGCGCATGAACTTGGTGGTGACCTCAAGGACGTCCTGGGGCATGGTGGCCGAGAGAAGGACGACCTGGGTGCTCTGGGGAAGGAGCTGGAAGATGTCGTAGATCTGCTCGGTGAAACCACGCTAGAAGGGGGTTAGCTTGGATTCGCACCCACAACCCACACCAGCCCACAAATATTACTTACAGACAACATCTCATCGGCCTCGTCGAGGACAAACATCTTCATGGAGTCCGTCTTAAGGAAACGACGCTGAATCATGTCGTGGACACGACCGGGGGTACCGACAACCACCTGGGGGCCCTCGCCGAGAGCCTTCATATCGTCTCGGACGCTGGTACCACCAATGCAGGCGTGGCACTCAATGTTCATGAAGTCGCCAATGGCGACAACGACCTTCTGAATCTGCTGGGCCAACTCACGGGTGGGGGCGAGAATGAGGGCCTGGCACTGCTTGAGGGAGGTGTCGATCTTCTGGAGGACCGAGATAGAGAAGGTGGCAGTCTTGCCAGTACCGGACTGAGCCTGGGCGATAACATCATGGCCTGATATCTTGTTAGGACATGTCGTGTGTATGCGACGGGGGTTAGAGTAGTCTTACCCTTGATGACGGGCATGATAGCACGCTGCTGAATAGCAGAGGGGCGCTCGAAACCGTAGGCATAGATACCTTTGGAAATTGTCAGAAAATCTTTGATCTTATTGCCACCCTATTGGGTATCGTTGTCGACCGATGGGGTGCTTACCGCGGAGGAGCTCCGACTTGAGGTTCATCTCATCGAAAGAGTCGACGGTCTCATCGTAGTTAGACTCGATCTGTCCTGTATGTTGCCATCACGGTCAGCGGCTGTGCTTGCTCGTTCCGTTTGCGCATCGAGTGCTTTGGGGGGCCGGTGGGTTATGGGCGGGGTCGAAGGCAGAATGCGCACCGCACCGTGATGCCCAACGCTCTCGAGAGGTGCGCGGGCAGCGGCGATGCGACGCCATGCGATGCTCGTCAAAGGTGGAAGAAGCCAAACGTACCCTCGGGGACGTCCTCGAGACCCTTGTCAGCCATGATTGCGGTGTTGAGTTGGCAAAAATTTCCAGATCCAAGCGCTGCTTAGATCTAGAAATCAGAAAAAGATGGTGGGGTAGCGAGAAAAAAAATCCGCAGACGACTCGGAGAGTGTTGCGAAGTGCTTTTGAAGCTGGAGTCTCCTTATAAAAAGAAGATAGATTAGAGAGTCTCAGTTAGAACACTGAGAACAACTGAATCTAAAAGGCCGTTTGGTATCTTGGTTGTGGATTGTTTAGAATTGGTGGTGGACGGAGAAGAGAGACCAGAGCAGGGTGGGAGGGAAGTGATAAAAATTCGATTTGGCGGAGAATTTATGAACGCCTCAGGCATCAACCCCTCCCACTTTTGCCAACTCTTAGTGGGGCAAAGAGGCCCCCCATTCACTTTAGCGTTCTGCTCATTGTTTCCAGGCTTTGGAGCAACCGTTCCTACGGCACTGAGTGAGCCTCTGAAGGAATTGCAACCTCACCCACACCCGGCACCCAGTGGCCAGACTAACACCTCTTTTTTTTTTTTTTTTTTTTTTCCTGCGAGGAACTTTTTTTTTTCTTCACTTGCCGGGGGCAACCCACATCCTCGCCCACCTTTACGGCCCAACCAGTCGGCACACGTCATACGCATATTTCTCACATACTATCATCCAGTCGGTTGACTCACTTTTAGGAGGCTCTGGGGTGCTGTCAAGAGCGAGCAGTCCTTTTCTTCTATTTCCTTGGTTGCCCAAAGCCTGGCCTGGCCTGACTGACCGTTGAGGCTCCCGCCCCCCACACCTTACTTACCACCCCCTGACTCCTGAGAATCAGGGCGCCACACGAACGATGATTCTGCCACACCACCAACGCCACAACAGGAGTATTGCCTTTGAGGAGGCTGCCAATGGGAGCCAACCTTTGACTCACCGTAGCGTGACTGGGAATGGTGACAAGGAGGTAGATTTGGAGGATTCTACTGTTGACTCCTCGGCTGTGCCACTCCACCCGCTCGGTATCAAGCCGCTCGGAAACAAGTACTTCTCCAATGGGAATGATGCTCGGAAATACCTGGGCACTTTGCAGGGCCTCCCGGATGAGATGCTCATGCAGCTTCTTGAATATCTGGATACACGTACTTTGAGGCTTCTGGGCTACACATGCAAATTTCTCTTTGCTTGCTGCATGTCAGACGATGTGTGGAAGACAATCTTCTTGGAGTAAGTATTGTCCCTGTTTGTGGTTGATTTTTCACAAAGCATTCAGTTCAAAGGCAAGGGAGAAGCCGAGGATAATTTTTCTTTCTCTTTTCCCTGTGGTTGGAACCCTAATGGAGACCTTGTGACCTTTGTCTCGTTTGGGATGAATGGGCAAAGGGGGTTGTGCGAGTCAAAGGTCTAACGTTTTTCTCTCCAGGTCAGATTTGGGAAAACAGTCATCCTTTCCTTGGCTGGGGTCATGGAGATCTACCGTCTTAGGCCTCTCAACAGAGAAGCAGATTCAGATGGACTGCAGCAGTGTGTTTTCCGACGTGCTGCATCGCCCGTTCGTCTGCAGTCATATCTCGTTGCGCAACTACACGACCAAGATCCCAGCAGGAAACGAGATTGACCGCATGGAGGATCTCTCTTACGAAGAATTTGCTGACAAGTGGAGCAAGAAACCGTTCATCCTGACCAAGTGTATTCAGTCCTGGCCTGTCAGCCAGACTTGGAGCATAGACAGTCTCTTGGCCCAGTGCCCAGATGTCGTTTTCAGGGCAGAGGCTGTGGACTGGACGTTCAGGACATATTGCGATTATATGCGCAACAGCCGAGATGAGAGCCCCCTCTACTTGTTCGACCGAAAGTTTGCCGAAAAGATGAAGCTCAAAATTGGCAAGGAGGAAGGTGCGGCATACTGGAAGCCTGGCTGTTTTGGCTCAGATCTGTTCGAACTTCTTGGGGCCGAGCGTCCTGCCCATCGATGGCTAATCATTGGCCCCGAACGCAGCGGTTCAACATTTCACAAGGACCCCAATGCCACATCAGCCTGGAACGCGGTGATTCAGGGGGCAAAGTACTGGATCATGTTTCCTCCGTCAGCCTCGGTTCCTGGAGTCTACGTCTCCAAAGACAGTAGTGAGGTGACCAGCCCCCTCTCCATTGCTGAGTGGCTGCTTGAGTTTCACGGAGAAGCCCGACAACTTCCAGAATGCAGAGAAGGCATTTGCAGAGCGGGCGAAATTCTTCACGTTCCAAGCGGATGGTGGCATCTGGTGGTCAACCTGGAGGACGGAATTGCACTTACACAGAACTTTGTGCCCAAGTCGCATCTTGCCAATGTCTTGTCATTCTTAAGTGACAAGGCTGACCAAGTGTCCGGGTTTGAAGACGATGTGTCAGACCCATACAACCTCTTTGTGAAGCGTTTGAGAGAGGAGTGCCCTGAACTGCTTGAGGAGGGACTCAGGCAACTAGCCGAGAAGCAGGCACGAAAGAAAAGACGATGGGATGCCGTGGTTGGCGACAGTGAAGCCGAGGATCACCCACAGAAGAAAAGCACTGGGTTCAGTTTTGGATTCTGCTTTGGGGGCGATGATGATGAGGAAATTCCATGAATGCTGGCATTGTTGGATAGAAAGCCAAAAGTGTATAGAGCGTACTTACCTACATACCCACACTACCAACCTGTACACTGCCCGGGGTCTGAAGAAGCACCACAGACTGCGAAGGGTCTCAAAAACACCACATAGAGGCACAAGAGGACACAAGTTGCAACCAGGCGGCTCACACATCGCGCCTCATCTCAGCACAAGTACACTTTTTGAAGGTGGCTGAGCTCAGCAAACGGTGCAGAAACGAGATGCTTCACCGAAACTTGACATATCACTACTGACACCGCAGTGGCCGTTCCGAAGACCAGAGCTCCCAAACAGAGGCTCCTTTGTATGAAAATACTATAAAATGACATGTCCAAAAGAAATCCCAAGTGTCAAATTGATCAAGTGAGCACGTTGAAGTCATGTTTCTTTGTCTTGGCCCTGTGCCAATCAGATGGCCCATCCCGGTGTGCTAAAGTCGGGCGGCGCTATGGTCCTAGCTTTGGCTGTCATTCATGCTGACCCTGGCACTGCCCGCACAGTGCCGCGAGAAAGCGGTGTTGGGGCTGCCGTCCCGCAGAATAACTGAATTTGAAGATAGACTGCACAGTGTTTCGGCACTGTCCCCGTGGGGCCTCTCTTCCCCCAGCTCCGCAACAGCAGCACTGTGGACTGTGGACTGTGGTCGAACTGAACCCGACCGACACACCTCCCGGGCCATCACCCATCTCAGCTGAACTCGCAGCCTGTCTGCCTGGCTTTTTCCTACCTCATCTGCTTGCCCTCCTTCTGTTTTCTTTTGGACTCTACTTTCCCAAGTGCTGCTCTACCCATGCCGCCTTGTTTGTTCTTGTCCGCCCCTCATTAGCAAGCCGCCGACCCCCGCGTTCCTGCCTCGCTGCCTCGATCGACTCCCGATTCCGACGACCCCCTTTCCACACCAAGGACCAACGGGTCCGACGATCTCCCAAAAGACAGCCCTGGCATGATAACAACATGCTGTTAGACAAGACTGGCTGCCCCGAAACCGACGTCCACCACCCCCATTATCGCATTACTATACTAGTTGACCCCTGAGGGCGGTTCAAGTTTGACACCTTGGCGCCGACGACAATCTCGAGCACGACGATCGGGTCTCTGACAGTTAGCTTGTACCAACACCTCAACTCAACCCACACTTTCGCTTTCCCAATACTGCCTTCGTCGTTACACCGTTTTCTCGGGCTCGCATTCATCCTGCGCGTTCCACACCGCCAGCAACACGTATACGGACGGCCTGCCTTCATACCAACATAATACTAGCACCCGGGAGCCTCTCGAAATAATAATACGGCGCGCGCACAATCATGGTTTCTGACGAGACCTACGAGATCTGCCTCCCGATCCTTCAAGACCTTACCCTGGAAGATGAGGATAAGACCGACAAGCTCGAGGAGGTCTTGAGGGAAAAGACAACGCTGAGGGACCAGGCGCTAGAAAATGCAATATTAGACGCCCTCTGGCGATTTCGAGATGGAGGTGGGACGGCAACATCACCGCCGTCTATACGGCAGACCATCTTGCGGCGTCCTTCACCGGCCCCCTGGCGCGGCTCCGGAACCCCACTGTCGGGCTCACCGCGCTTGGGTGTTAGCCCCCTTGCCCCGCCAGGATTCATGCCGACCCCTTTCAGTCGGGCCAAGTCCGTAACGGCCTCCCCCTTCGGCTCGCCGAGACCGTCTCCGAGGCTGGCCTTTGCCGCTCCCGTGCCTCACAGCCCAAGCTTGAATGCGTACCGTTTCAACGATGAGCCGCCCTCTCAGGAGGTTTTTGGCGACTACCAGTCTGACAATGTGGACTGGCTGGTGAGCGATGATGCCGCCAGTGTAACCTCGTCAATCGGCAACGCCAGTGGCCTGAACGTGGCGGCTCCCGAGTTCGTATCCACGCGCCAGGAGACAGATATGAGCCCGTACGACATGCTGCGCACGATCCTGGGACCTACCAAGACCGATGATGAGATTAGTGCTGCCCTTGCCATGCATGGCTACGATCTTGGTGCCACTGTCCAGGCCATCATGGAGACACAAATGCAAGACAACCTCGCTCTGGCCGCCCAGGCCGAGGAGGCTCGAGTGACTATCGGGAGGTCACTGACTCCCGACAACCGACCGTCGACCCCAGGAGACCAGCAAAAGACGGGTGTCATTTGCAAGTTTTATCTGTCCACCGGAAGCTGTCTGCGCGCCGACTGCCGTTTTAGCCATGATTTGAGCAGTCACATTTGCAAGTAAGTCTCGAGAGTAGAGTTCGAAAATTGTCGGTCATGAAAAACTGACACAACTTTAGATACTGGGTGGCAGGCAACTGTCTCGCTGGGAGCACTTGTATCTTCTCGCATGACCCGGCACACCTGGCCAACAGGCTTCATATCGATGGGTCGGATACACCTCCTACCCAGCACGCCACGGTTAATCTGCAAGACTACAGCAGCTTCCCAGCTCTGCAGCCCGGCACTCCGGAGCAACTGCCTATCTTTGCGGCCGCTGGCAACTATCCGGCCCTCGGTGTTACGCCGCCCCCTGGGTTTAAAGGACACCATGGCTACGCTAACGACCGGCCGCGATCCCGGCCTGGAAGTCGCCATCAGCAAAAGGAGGCAACACAGCCTGTGCCCTCGCCGGATGATGCGGATGCTTTTCCTTCGCTCGGGGCTGCCCTTGCCAAGCAGGGTAAGAAGCACCATGGCAAGAGGGGTGGGCACGGTCACGGTCACAAGGAGAACTTTCCTCCTAGCACACTTGCCGATATCGTCAAGATGTCGCCATCCCCTACGCCTTCGCAGCAGTCCCGAAAGATGGCCCGCAATGGTAGTTCGACTAGCATTCGCAACGGCGAGAACAGCGCGGCCGCCCAAGCCATCCCAAATCCCAAGCATATTCCGTGGCTCGAGACGGGCGAGAAAGCCAACAAGGCCTATCTCAAGGCACGCCAGGAGGCTATCAAGCATGGTGGCCTCCGCAACAAGTTTCTCCAAAGGTGATCGTGAGTTGAAACCAATAGCAAGCGGTGAAGACTAACAAAGTTCACAGTGCTGCTCAAGCCTGGAATCGTAACGATGCCAGAGCCGCCAAGGCACTCAGTCTCCGGGGACAGAGCGAGAACGACCTGATGCGGAGAGCTCACCGCGAGGCAGCCGATCAGCTGTACAAGGAGCGCAACAAGGACCGGGCCAACTGCCCAGAAATCTACGTGGACCTGCACGGGCTGCACCCCGAGGAGGCGGTCGAGTATCTGGAGAAGGTGCTCATGGAGAACATTTCCGAGGTCAGACCAATCTACGCCATCACGGGCACCGGCCACCACAGCAAAAATGGTAAGGACAAGGTTGGCAAGGCGGTCCGGAGCTTTTTGAACGAGTGGCGGTATGCCTACCGGGAGTTTTCTGTGCCGGGCGACCGCAACAGCACGGGCGGCATCTTGGGCATTGACGCGCGGAGCTGGGACCGGAGTCTCTCCAAGGACGGGGCGACGCATGCGAAGAAGGATGGCGGCGGTGGTGAGGGGGGAGAGAAGGAGGATGTGGATATTCTTTCGCAGGGTGTCGAGATTGGGGAGGGCAAGGTCAAGCTTCTTGTTAGGGACACGTCGGTTGCCAAGGAGCCACCCAAGGGGCCGGCGAGGAGGTGACGCCCTTTTTCCGAGGAGGAGGGGGGGGGGTTGCTGATACTAACTGGTTGGCTGGATGGGGTAGAATAGAGCAAAAAACAGTTTATTAAACCTTTGTTTGTTCCAGTTGGGATAATGTGAAATGTAGAGGTTATACCTATGCAGAGACGGGCCCGGGGATGTGGGTTGTGCCGTTGATGACGTCTTGTTGCCCTATCTACCTAAGTAGGTATGTCATGCAAGGCGCTCTGAGTGCGTCGGATTGCGCGGCTGGCAGGCTTTCGGGTGCTACCGAGGATGCAAGAGGTTGCGTTACTTCTTTGACATCCATCCCAACTTGTTGGTTCGGGACATCTTAATATTGTTCGCATCGCATTCTCATATCTTTGGGGAAAGGGAGGTCTCGGTTTCATGATGCAGTCTGCTGTGGTGTGGTGCCCCTGAAACTACTGTTTTAGGTCTAGCCTTACGCCGTTTTAGGTTGTTCTTTGGGCTGGGCCTTCTGGAACTCGGCGGCGGGATGATCGGGGGGGGTCGGCTGGTTGTGAGGCTGAGCCAGCTCGTTGCTGACTTTAATTCCAGTTGGGTCCAGATTTCGGGGGATCCTTTTTTTTCGCTATCTTATTTTGGAATTAGGTATCCCTTTTTTCTTTTCGACACCCTTGGTCACAGGAGGCATTTCTGTTTTACTTTTACTTCTGAGAGAGAGAGAGAGATAGTTTTGTTGGAGTTATTGTGTAGGTGCAAACCCAATGGACTTGCAGAGGCAGTGACACGCTCAGCGACAAGACGATAAGTAGCAGGGCGGAGAGGGAACGAAAGCCGTGGGTACCGCGGAGACCGAAGAGTGAACAAACGAACAAACGAACGTACCGAACGAAGAGGGATAACCTAGAAAGTGGAGGAGGGTACATATTCTTGGGCTTGGCTTGCGATAACAACGCACGAGAACTGGTGGAAATTGTTGCGACACTATATACATACACTTTGAACGAGACGTCTACCACCACGACATCTTCACCCAACGAACCGATCGGACAACACCGAGGCTTATAACAACGACGACCATGCCAGGCGAAGAATTTCCCCCCTTCGGCCCCTCATCAGGAGGAGGGGGACGAATCCCCTCCCCAACCAAAAACACCTTCAACCACCACCATCGCCTCTCCCTCTCAACCTCCTCCTCCCCCTCTCCATCACTAACCTCCGTCCCGAGAATCACCTCCAACCCAACCTCCCCCAATCTCCAAAACGACCTCTGGCAGCAACAATCCCAATCCCGACCCCCCTCCACCTCCTTCTCGTCCTCCCGCCGACTGAGCACCACCCGCCGCCGATCCAACCCCTACTCCTCCAACCCCCTCCTCGACACCCCCCAGTCCTTCCTCCAAAAAGCAACAACAACAGCAATCACCCTCTCCCAATCCACCCTCCGCCTCTTTCTCTCCCTCCCCCGAACCCAACAACTCCTCGTCCTCTTAGCCCTCTCAGTCCTTTTCTCCCTAGGAATCCTCTTCCTAGTCTACTCCCACACAATCTTCACCTCCCTCGCCCCCCTAGCCGCATCCTGGAAACAATCCTGGCTTTTCCTCATCGTAATATTCCTCCTCACATGCCTAACCGGCTTCCCCCCCATAATAGGCTACAGCACCTGCGTCACGATCACCGGTTTTGTCTATGGCTTCCCCCACGGCTGGCCCATCGCCGCAACAGCAACGGTAGCCGGTTCGACTGCCGCTTTCGTCACCTCACGCGGCGTGTTAAAAGGCTATGTCCACAACCTGGTAGGAAAAGACAAACGATTCGTTGCGTTGGGGCAGGTGCTGAAAAAGGACGGGGTGGTGGTGCTGGCGATGATTAGGCTTTGTCCGTTGCCGTACTCGTTGTCGAATGGGTTTTTGGCTACGGTTGGGAGTATTAGTCCGGTTACTTTTGCTGGGGCTACTGCGCTCACGACGTGAGTTTTTTTTTTTTTTTTTTTTTTTTTTCTTTTACCTATCATGATGGTATGTGCTGACTGACGGGGAATTTTATAGACCGAAATTGCTAGTCCACATTTTTATTGGCAGTCGGCTTGCCTTGTTGGCCGAGTCGGGGGATAAAATGACAGGGTTTGACAAGTTTGTGAATTATGCTTCTATGGCGGTGGGGGCGGCGGTGGGCATGGGGGTTGCGTGGGCGGTTTATAAGAAGACGATGCAGAGGGCCGAGGAGCTTGCGGGAGAGGATCTGGAGGGGGGGTTGCTGCCAGAAGCTGGAGAAGAAGAGGAAAGGTTGGTCGATCCGGATGAGATGGATGCTGCGGCGGTTGATGTGCTGATGGATGATGATGATATTAGCTTGTGGGATAATGATAGTTCGGGGATGACGGGACAGGAGCAAGGGTATAGGGATGATGTTTGGGAGGATGCGCCTGAGTTGCCGAGGGGGTTTAAGTGAAGGAGGAGGGTATGTTCAAACAAACGAGGGGGCGGGGATCAAAGGGAAGGGGGCAACTTTGGTTGGGAGTTGAAGGGGAGAGGGTATTTACAAAGCAGGTGAATATATGGGTGTGTGTGGGATTACCTATCTGTGGTTGGATCTGGGTTGGCAAGCATTTGGCGGCGTTTTGGTTGGAGGTTTTGGATGTTGCAGATTTGATATTTTTACACTGGCAAGGCGTTGTTGGGGTTGTTTTCTGGAAATCACTTCATCAGTTTACCAAGGGGATCACACAAAGGAGAAATCTAGATGGCCACATTGTGGAAACAGAAAAACAGGACTGCGACCTCTCAATGAAGGCTTCGGAAGATGTGACATATGCATTTCGATTATCTCTCTGAGGTCTGGAGAGAGCCTTGTACACGTACTCAAGCAAAGAGTTGTTTCTGTCTTTTACAGCAGGCAGGCCCATTGTTCCCGAGCATGTTCCCTACATGTCATGTCTACCTCAAATGCTAATGCTATAAACCAATTAACCTGCTCTCAATACCTTGTGATACTATCCTGATTCTTTGCCCCAAACTCCTCGCTTGCCAAAACATTATACATGCAAAAAGAAAAGAGATGCCCGCCCTATTGTTTCTGTTGCTGCCACTGTTGCATAAGCTGCATGGCCTGTTCCATCGGATACCCAATGAACACCGGCCCGTTGAAGTTATACACAATCTGCGGCGGCCGATCGGCGCCTTTGTCGCCCGATGTTGGGGCGGCAGGTTTGACAGACTCGGGGAGGTTGACAAACGGTGGCTGGGGCGGACTCGAAGGCAACTCCTGGTGGTACTTAAGCGGCAAGTAGAATGTGTTCAAATTATGGCCAGCGTTGAGATTCGGGTCTGCCGTCGGAGGATGCGGTTTCATTTGGGTTTTGAATCCCATCTTGGTATGGTCAAAGGGACACTTCTTAGGTTCCGCTTTGACTTCTGGCGCAACTGCCGGGGCCTCTGTTCTCATCGGAGGGACGGGCGATGAGCTGCGGACAGGAGGTATATCTTGGGGTCGCAGGCCGGCTTGGATAGGCACAGGAATTCCCCAAGGTCTAGTCGGCGACTCGCCCACACGGACCTCGCGGAAGTTGCGGTCGAATCTATTCTCCCGATCCCCTTCCTCGTCATGAGGCGTCGGTGGCATCTCGTTATCCTGGATGTCAGGATCGGCAGCAACAATCGTCTGGGCCCAGTCCTCTACTCTCTTATTCGACGAGGTGCTGCCCACCCTGGTCTTGTCGTTCCCGGCAGCAGGAGGTAACATGGGGCGGTGCAAGTGGCTCAAGTCTTCGACCATGCTCACGAGGTTACCATACTTGGCGTCGAGCTTTCTTATCTGCTCTTCGTTCCGCTGATACCTCCTGACGCAGACCTCATGGCTTCGGGGAATCTCATGCTTGTGGGTCTCCACGTAGTGCGCAATTTCTTCAGGCGAGTGCTTGTCTAGGAAACGGATCGGACATTTGGAGGCAGTAGCGGCGGCCGTGGGACTGGGCACGGCATCTTCAAGCATGGCGGCGCATATGGGATCAGTTGACTTGTGAGGCGTGGGATCAGCACCGGCGCCGCCAGCAAGGTCCTGGGAGCCGTCGACCTGCTCAGCGTGGTGACCATGAGGTATGCCGTTTTGATTCAGCTTGGTCGAGAAGGGGCACGCTAGGGAGCCCTTTCTCCCATGAACGGTAAAGTCCTTTTCCAGGACCGTTGACGCAGCCGTCAACCCTTCCATTCCTAGCGACAGCGGAGTGTCTTGACCTGACCTGGCAAACTGGACTGCGTCGGTCATGGCGATAGCAAGCTGCTTTGCGGCTTTGCGTCCCTCTCTGATGAGCAGCGCGATTTGGTGCTGGTTGTTCCCGTCAAGTCCACGTTTTGGCAAAGGCACAGCTGACGTTGCCGTCGCGAGTAGATGTAAATCTGGTGGTATTTGGAGTTTTGCTAGAGTCTCGGACACGTCTGGTACTGCATACTTGTCGGCGAGATATTGAAACTGCTTCACGAGCTTGATGTTAGCAAACTGTGATCGACCGCAAGAAGATGACGGGGGTCGTAACGTAAAAGAAAATGCCAGCGAAAATATCAGAGTGTGAATAGTGTCTCCATCTGCTGCTCGTTTAAAACAGCTCCAGATCTAGAGCTAATGAAATCATCATATGAGGCTGGGGAGGGGTGACATCGCAAAGTAGCGATGAGACGAGAACAAAAAATAAAGGAACGTACCTGTTCATGGGCGTAGCGCAGCTTGTGCTCCAAGATGGTTTTGCGATCAATCAGCGACTGAACTTCGTCTGCAAGGGCGGCGAAGGACTCTGTCAGAGTCTGGATGAGGATTGCGGCAGACATCCCATGGGTCATGAGGGGAGATGCCGCATTTGTAAGCTCTTGCTTGGTATAACAGAGAAAGAAGAGCTTGGTGGAAAATGGTTGGTCTGGAAGAGGGAAAACAGTCGCGCCAGCTTTTTAAACCACCCCGCCGAGTCCACTTTTAGCGACCAGGCCCTGAATGTTTGGCCGATTCCGTGGCTGGGCGGGGCGACCGTTAGCGTGGTGCAGGGATCTGGAGATCAGGTGTGGTCCCAGCTCCAATCTGCAGCGGAGCACAACCTCGATGCTGATGGCGCCTGTGGTTGTACCTAGCTGGAAATCGATGTCTGTGGAGATCGTGGCTCTTGAAGAGGTACCCAAGGTAGATGGGAACTGGCGATGGAATGCGTTTTGGATCAGTTGTTGCAGCCTGTCGTGCCTCACATAGGGTTCTGTAAGTTAATACGAGCTTGTTCTCTCATCTCATTCGCCATGAGGCAGTCACAACCTAGGTGGAAGCCGATGGGTAGTTCAAGGTTATTATCCCCGCATCTGCAACTTTTTAACTACTTCCAACGGCCACTTCTTAAACAACAACATGCAAGATGGATCCTGTTTGGACTGCGCGTCTGGTCAGCAGCCGGTCACATATTCATCCTGGTAATGGCCCTTATTTCTATCTGTTACAAGTATTGAATCTTTGGTTAACCCATCACTAGGCGGTTTTCATGTGACTGAGCTGTTCTTCGAGGTCCCGTTGAACTATGCTCGCCCGGGAGACGGAACCATTCGGCTCTTTGCCCGCAGCATAAGCCGGCCGGAGAAGACTATTCCAGGACTCTCCAAACCGGCGGATGAGCCCATAAAGCCGTATCTGGTCTACCTTGAAGGTGGCCCAGGCTTTGGTGGCCCTGAGCCCCGAAGCCATCCCGTTTCCAACCGTGCCTTGGACGCCGGATACACGGTGCTTTATGTCGACTACCGCGGGACCGGAATGAGCAACCCCATCCACACAGACCTCGTCCTCAAACAGGGGGACGTCAACCAGCAGGTCGAGTACCTGAAGCTCTTCCGCGCCAACAGCATCGTGCGAGACCTCGAAGCGATCCGGCTTTGTCTGACCGAGTCCTGGAAGCCAGAGTATCAAACATGGTCCATTTTTGGGCAGTCATTCGGCGGCTTCGTCTGTCTGTCATACTTGTCCAAGTACCCCCAAGGCCTTAGAGAGGTTTTCATGACCGGCGGTCTGGCCCCTGTCGAGCGCCAACCTCTAGAAGTGTATTCCGCCCTCTATAGAAAGGTCATCCAGCGAAACGAAGCCTACTACAGCAAATATCCTGAAGACGAGGCGAACGTCGCCCGAATCGCATCATACCTGACCACGAATGAAGCCGATATCCTCCTTCCCGGAGGTGGTACTTTTACAGTCCACCGTCTCCTCGGTCTCGGCATGGCCTTTGGTGGCCACGGAGGTCTAGATACTGTACACAATCTAGTAGTCAAGCTCATTTCCGACCTGGATCAGTTCAACTACTTTACCACTCCGACACTGATGGCACTTGAGCGTGAGGTCCCTTTTGACAGCAACCCTGTCTACGCCATTCTACACGAGAGCATCTACTGCTCCAGGGGCGTAGCGTCCAACTGGGCGGCACTGAATGCAGCTCGCAAGTTTGAAAACTTCTTCTTTTGGACGCAATCTGATCATAGCCAGTTGTCTCTGCCAGTGGATGGAATGGTCAGATTTTACTTCTCGGGCGAGATGGTTTTCCCTCAATTCTTTGACACGTATCCCACCTTGAGGCCGCTCAAGCCAGCGGCGGAAGCGTTGGCGAGATATTCTCAGTGGGAGGAAGATCTGTACGATGAAGAGCAGCTGCGCCGTAACGAAGTACCTGTGTACGCCGTGAGCTATATTGACGACATGTACGTTGACATCGGGGCAGCGAGGGAGACGGCCGCGTTGGTCAAGGGGATCAAGGTCCACGAGACGAACCAGCTTCATCACAATGCCATCCGGGCAAAAGGGGACGAGGTGCTAGGGATGCTGTTTAAGTTGCGGGATGATACCCTGGATTAGCGGGCAACTGACTGATGCAGAAGAGGCGTGAGATATGAATAAATACTTGAGCTGGCTCATCTACGAACTTCTCGAATAACGGTATGCTGTGTCTCCGAGTGACCACAACGACGAATGACATAACTCTCCGAGCTCGCTCTTGCCCTCTTGTCCCAGCATCAACCCTCGCTCCTTCCTCCACCACCCCCTTCTCGCACCACCAGCCCTCGCTCCTTCCTTCCTTGTTTGTCCCCGCACCTTCCTCCTTCCCCAACAACGGTATGTATATCTCGTCCAACACATCTTCTTCAACAAAGAACAGCAGCTCACTCTGGCCAAATGGTCAAGCGGGAAGACTTGCTGGCTGAGGGCAAAGCCCTCCCCCCCCCCTCCCCCACCCAGTTGTCTCGACCCCGGAGAGCTTCCTTGTTCAAATCCTCGTAAAACCGAGTTTTCGGCGCCACACACCACAACCAAATAAAGTGTGGATGCCGGCGATCTTTTTGGACTTTTACACCTTTTTGACCTGCCTAACTTACACGTCGATACTTTCTTTTGGCTATTCGGAATCTAGTCGTTGTAGTGTTTTGTTATGAGTAAATACCGGATGAAATTAGTGAAAGGAAGTTCACACAGCTCAGTCTATTCACATTGCTTGACTCTTTACAATATCTCAACATGGTTCAGAGCGTTCTTTCAATTCCCATCACCGACACACCATAATAAGCATCCAATCTATATGGTATTTCCAAAACATGACAAAACTCCAATCCAATAACCCCCATCCCCACCATTATCACCCATTCCCCATCACCGGAACATTGACAAACCATAACCTCCCCTTCTCCTACCTCCTCCCAGGCCAATTATTGTGCCCATACATAACCTGCCCCTGCACCTGTCCCCCTCCTCCATTCCACCCCCCATAACCCTGATAATTCCCCGGCGGCCCAGGCGGCGGCAGCGGATGATTGTGATGATGTCCCCCCCCACCATGGTGCCCCCCTCCCCCTCCCCCATTCTGCACCATCACACCCCGTTCTCCCTCCGTTGATCCCACCAACACTCCTAACCCCATCCATCC